ATAACGTACAACAAAGCAATTAACAACTTTATTAATGTTAATGTTACTGGCAACTGTACAAATAAAGCATATTTTAAAAGTATTCTTACCGAGTTCAGTCTTCTTCAACCTGGCCGGCCGCAGCTTCTCCACTCTGAGGAGGATTTCTGAGACGCACCGGTTAAAAACAAATAAAACCGCTTCGATGCTAATCCGCGCCGTGTCCATCATGAGTCCGCTAACTGACAGCGCGCTGTCCGGAGGCGGGGTTATATTCTGGGCGAATGACCGAACAGAGTCTGACAGTACAGCGGAGCCCCGGAGTCTTGCTATCAGGGTGGTTTCTCCCAAGGTTTTTTCTCCATTCCGTCACCGATGGAGTTTTGGTTCCGCCGGCTTGCTTAGTTGGGGACACTTAATTTCCAGCGATATCGTCGACTTGATTTATCGTCGAACTGAGCTGGATGATGACGTCACTGAATTCAATGATGAACTGCCTTTAACTGAAAAATGAGTATTTACTATCGTCACTTTGCATTATTGACACTATTTTCCTAATTAATGCTGTACAGTTGCTTTGACACAATCTGTATTGTTAAAAGCGCTATATAAATAATAAAAGAAAAACAAAGCCAGATCAGCAGCATCTTCAAACAGCAGTTGTCATGAAATTAATTTAATTATTATGAGCAGGGAATAAAGCTGCAAATATCTCATTTCCAGACAGAGGCTCTCTGACCCCAACTGTTTGATAAATCTATAAACCAGCGTAAAGATGGCCAGTGTACAAGGCACTGTTGCAGAAATAAACTAGATTAATAGAGTGAAAATCTCAACTCGAATCGTTAAACTCTGACACAGCTGTTGGCGTTGATTTCAGTCATGTGAACTCATGTATGTTCAGAATCTTATGAAGTTTGATTACGTCTGTGTTTTTGGAAATCTTTTCTAAAGATGCTGTTGTTTGGGTGTTTTAGCCTCGCCTCCACCAGCTGCCAATCAAAAGACATGCTTTAACACAATGTCAAAGTTTTGAAAAA